AAAAGATGATCTTATTAAGAAAGTGCACATTCCTCGATATGATGCTTCGAAGCGCACTTTGGCTTGCTTATGGATTGTCTGACTCGTAGCTTCACTATATCGGTGAGCCTTTTTTCACTTTATGATAGACGATCGAGGCTTTGTAAATTATCGGACCTTGCAACTGTTCGGTCTCTTTCTTTGAAGGGTCTGACCAAATTGAGCTAATCCCTTTTTTCTTTTTAGTGCGAAGCTCAGAAAGGCTTGCACTATATTCCTGAACGGTTTTCCCGTTATCTTTGTGCTTTTTAGACCGAGTCATTGTGAGGTCATTTCGCATCATCTTGATCGTTTGCACCTGTTTTGTGTATTCAGCCTCAAGATGTGCTATCTTGACATTCATATCTCAAAGTCGACTATCCGGGTCGAGCTTCAGAACTTTTGGCACTCGACTAGTTTCCTCCTTGAGATTAGCACATTCAATCTTGAGGCGCTCTATTTCTTCCTTTCTATTTTTCTATTATTTCTTTTTGTCTATATTTTTTCTCTTTTTTTTTTGGAAGTGTAGGCCGACTCCTAAGTTATACGTCCCAAGCGAAGAAGGCATCCATAACAGCGTGATCCCCAATCAGCGCTGGTCTTTTACGAGGTTAAGAATCTTGTCCATAGGATATCTCAAATTCGGAAGGGCGGCATTATTGTGCACAACTTGTTCCAACCTCTCTACATGATATCGAGGAATGTCTACTTTTTTCAACTGCCTAGTAGATCCCTCAATTAACTAGAAGCAAAATATACATATTATGAGTATGATGTTTAGTGAATTCATGCATGAGGGTGTTTGTTTTTCCTAAATATTATCATGTTTTATTTTCTAACATGATGCATGATAGTGTTTGAGATTTTTGTATATTTTTTTGTAGAAAAAGGGAAACTACCTATATGGATGTGGTAAATTTGATGTTATCACCATGAAAGGGATCCCATTTCTCTATTTTTATGTATGCAAATGATTTAAGGTTTTTTATTTGGAATGAATGAATAGTGTGGGATAGATATGCCTTAAGACAATGACTTTGGTATCCTCTTTGAAGCCTACGCTTCATGAAGAACCACACCCACTTCGGTGTAATGGTTCCTTCCCCATCATGGATTTGACAAGTATTACGAAGGTTACCATACCTTAACACATCTGTCTCTTCCTTGTGGACGGTTACAAACGTGTTTGTGGCCTCTTTCACCTTTGTCTTAAGGATATCTAATACTCCCTAGCATGAATGTATTTATGCATGGGAGAATTTATTAGGATGATGTGTATGCATACTTTCTTTATGCATTTATTTTCTCTATTTGGTTTTACCACTCTTGAATGATGAGGGTGTGAGATTTTGTCAAAATGCGTTTTATTATATTTTGTTTTTTATTCATTTTGTGATCCCTTTATCTCTTCTGTAGGTCAACGTGACTACTTAGCTTACAAAGAACCTAAAACCAGACTAGCTTAAATAAAGATTGTTCGAGATAAAGTTTGTTTATTAAGAAACATTTTGTTTTATAAGCCCTTATCTCTTTTGTAGGTCAACGTGACTACTTAGCTTACAAAGAACCTAAAACCAGACTAGCTTAAATAAAGACTGTTCGAGATAAAGTTTGTTTATTAAGAAACATTTTGTTTTATAAGCCCTTATCTCTTCTGTAGGTCAACGTGACTACTTAGCTTACAAATAACCTAAAACCAGACTAGCTTAAATGAAGACTGTCTCAGATAAGGTTGTTTATTACAAAAAGGTTTTGGGATGTTATTTTATTTGTATTATTTTATTTTATTTTTTGTTGTATGATTACGTTATTCAACAAACACATGCAACAAATAAATGCACAAACAATTGACTCATCCGCGAACAGAATGACGATGTTTAATTACGAGGAAGGGGTTTCCTGCAAAAAAGTGCATAGTCAAGGTGATTCTAACTGTTCTCACCAAGGTCAGGTTTCCAAGGTGCCTCCATTATAGGGACCCTTCAATCTCTCAGTCTTTGAACCATGCATGGCAAAAAGGCCTTATCGACGTTCTTAGACCAAGAGAAGAATGTTATCACCTTGAGTGGTGGTTTCCGACAATGACCTGCTGACACGAAGGCGATTACCACGGTCAGTCATACCTGCCACCCACTACCTAAGGTTTACCACTCATGCCCTTGGGTATAGAGGGACTGTTGTGTGCAAAAGTTTGTGTACAATTGATACTTTAAACAATTGCAGAAAATAATCATACAATAGTTATTAAAGTCATACAATAAAACATGTTATTCATACAAGGGAGGGTAAAAACATAATTTCAAGTTTATTATTTTTAGATTATTCCATCACTAAATGAGATCAACTCTCTAACTTTCCCAGTGGAGTCGCCATCTGTCGTCATTGTAAAAAAGTGGTCGAAGCGACGCGATAATTTTGATGACTCGTGTTTGTTTTTAAAAAAGATGGTCATCGCTCTTAGGGTGGTCGATAACCGAGCTACCCTTAAGAACAATGTTTTCGTAAATGGGTCAAGGAGTCGCCACCGATATTTACCATAAACATCGAAAAAGGAGAAAAAAAAGCGTTGGTTTAAGAAAAACCAACTTTGACCATTATAACCAGAGTTGGGTAAAGGGAGTTAGTTATGTGTGGGGAAGGTATTAGCACCCCACAATGCCTCTTTTGGGTTCCCTATGATGGAATAATCTTAAAATAAAGACTTTAAAAAATTATGCTTCTACCCTATTTATTCAATGTAGTATTTAAACGACTATCTACATGGTCCTAGTATCTAATACATACAAGGAAAGCATTAAAAGAAAACAGTAAAAGAGAAGAGATATGAAGAAGAACCTCCAAAGCGAGCTTTTATAAATCTTGCACTTTAGGACACTTTTTGACAGTCCCCACACTCTACAAGACGCTCCTCCCTCGAACAAATATTAAGAACTAAACTCCTCGAGTGTCAAAAGAATCACTCGTACTCTGGAATAATGCTTAGAGTTGCTTAGAAGTCCCAAAATAGGTTCTATAGAGCATAGGAGAGTGTGAAAATGTGTGGAATGAGGGAAATGAGGGTCCTATTTATAGGGAAACGAGCCAAGAAAAGTGGACGACCATCCATAGCCTAAAATGAGCATAAACGACCGTCTATTTAACATGGACGGTCGTCCATTGCTGAAAATAGGCATGGACGACCGTATGGTCCAAATGGATGGTCGTCCATTGCTTGAAAATAGGCATGAACGACCATCTGGTTATCCTCGACGGCCATCCGACATTTCTAACAAAATTTCTGATTTTTATTTTCTCAAAAAACATTCTTTATCTTAAATGAAACCTAAAAAATGCTACTAGGAATCTATCAAAGTCTTCACCATCTTTGAAACGGAGAGTTTTTAACTTATCGCGAGACCAACAAGATTTGTGTTCTATAATCTTTTTTGAAAATAATTTCTAGGAAGAAACCTCACATTCTCACCAGATTACCTAATTAAAAGAGAAATTAATTTAGGAACAAATAAGAAATAAAAGTATTCATACTTTTTTTAAAAAGTGAGAACCGATTCAACTTTAAAAACGATGTAATCATATTAGGATAAAGAAAACATTTAATAAAATATTTATTTATTTAAAAATGAGAAAAATGGATGAAAACATGTTAAAAAATAAATTTTCAATTATGCATTATTATAGTTAAAAAAAGTCATTTGAATATAATTAATATGTGGTTATAAAAAAATTAAGGATTCACATATTCGATTTAATGAATAAAAAATATTTATATACCACATAATATTATTAAAATTTATTATACGATATAAAAGATTATATTTGTATCTTATCTGACAAAATTTTATATAATCTATTTCTTTAAACATAAAACGAAGATTCATATTCAATAAAATGTTATTGAACTTTAATATTAGATAAATATAAAATATTTACATTCGACATAATATTATTAAAATTTAATATTGGATAAAAACATAATTTATTAAAATATAATAGTGGATAAAGATTCATGTTCGACATAACATTATTAAATTATAATATTGGATAAAGATTTATATTCAATATAACTCTATTAAATTGTCATTAAAATATAATATTAGATACATAAAGATTCATATTCAACATAAAAAACTATTAAAATATAATATTGGATATATATTCATATTCAATATTATTAGATATTGAATAAAGATTCATATTTAATATAAAGCTATTAACATCTAATATTTGATAAAGATTGATATCCTTATCTCATATATTACATAAGAAAAAATTATGTGAAAGTATTTTATTAAATACAAAACCAAAATTTATATCCTAAATATGTAAATACATCAACTAATTAATAAAAACACACCAATATGTTGTCATTAAAAATGAGCGAAATTTATAAATATCAAGTATTAATAAGCAGTTAAAGAGAAAAAAAACTCCAATAAATCAATTCATGAGTTACCTTTTAAATATATAATACTTTGTATATTAAAAAGTGTGAAATAATATATTTAATTAATTTACGATTGATTTTATTTTAATAGAATTTTTTCTAAAATTTTGTAAAAACATTCATTATCTCTTTTCATTTTTATTTTTGTAAGTAGTATAATGAAAGAACTAACAACATAACACCTAAAAAATTATCGATTCAAAGCTCTAAACTCAGTTTATTTAAGATCGTCGAAGAAAAAAAAAAGATAAAACAAAACACAGATTGATAATGACTTTTATGTGATAATAAGAAGAAAAAAAGGAAGGAAAAAATAAAACAGACTTTGATAATGTTTGCACACAAACTCTAAAGTGCAGCGAGAATTTCGGCAAGAGTAAATAATAAAGATAAACATCTGAAATTTATCCGCTACGACATGTTACGATTAATAATATTTGTGCGTTTTGCTTTGGATCCTACACAACTTCAACCTCATGCAAATTTCATATATATATACTTCCCATTTTGGTTACCATCGTTATATATATTTGATTGTTTAATTGTCAAGAAATCCTAAATCAGACTGCGCCGAATCAAAGTCGAAAGGGAAGAGTGAAATATGCTCCTCTGTAGTTGGAGAGGCAGCACCTCTGACTAAGTTGGCATCCTCATCAGGAATTGGGTCTGGTGGCTCAGAGACGGTGGTATTGGCCATGCAGGTGGTGGCGGTGGTGGCAGTGTTGGCCATGCAGGTGGTGGAAGGCATAACGCCGGTGCCAGTGGCGGCAATGATGGCTGGCTCAGCCTTGTGTAGGAGCCATTCGATGGTCTCACCATCTGTCTTCTTGCCGAGCTCACGGGTGAGTTGGAAGATGCGAGCAGCAGACATTGGTGATAGACGAACACGGCGGTCTCTCCCATTGACCTTTATGTGGCGGTCCTTCTTGATGGCCAGGGAAGGAGGCCCCTTGTTTTGCACCATTGAAGGACCTTCATTGCCTTGAAAAGATCCATATCCCCTCTCTACACTAATCTTGTCAGTCACTGAATTCATGACGTTCATTATCCAGTTTCAGCGGCAGCAGCGGGTTTATATAAGCTGGTTTTGGGGACTCCTACCTCCGTACTTACATAAATATTAATATTATTGTCAATATTATTAATGTTAGCATTATCATATAACACGCAATTAAGAAGGAATAGATTGACTGCATTATTTGTTTTTAAGTTTCACAATGATAAATAATCAGGCCAGTGCATGATCAAAGTTTCAATCTCACTGACACTTGTATGTGGTAAAGTATTAATGCTTTGTTCTATATCCCATTGTGAAGTAATTAAGCATCATTGGTTTGAAACATGTTGCGCTACGGTTCCCATTCAAATTTTATCAATGTTAGGATTAGAACTAGTGGTACTTTTCCCAAAGGTAAGCCAAATTGCCGTTGCCAAAGGCACCGAGAATTAGGCATGACAACACCGTGTTGCACTCATGGCAAAATTTCAACGTTCTTAATTGTCTTCTACAAACCAAACAAACCGAGTGAATAATCTCTATCCTCTCCATAAATATCCCCATTTCATATTTATAAGGTATTAATTAAAAAGACTATCAATTAAGATAGGGGTATATTTATTTTCATCCATTAATCACATTGGAAAACATAATTGAGTAGTCTGTTGCTAACACTCATCTCATCAAGATCCCCTCATTGTAAGCGGCATTAGTCCAATTCTATATACCGAGGCTGTTGCACCCAGCATGTGAAAGTAATCCCATAACGGTATTGTGCATTAATGTGAGCTATTTATTTACTAAATAACATTTAATTTCCATCCCACAAAAGGGAGAAAAAAAAAAATTCTGATTTCATCTGGTGCTTATTTGGATATCAGTATGAGGCTCGTAGTTATAATGGTACGAGATGCTGTTATACAAAAAATAAAAAAATAAAAAAAAATCGAACTTTGATTTCTCAGATAAATTTAACATGTTTGATTACAAAACTCAACAAAGTAATGCTTACAATAATATTAATACTAAATTAACACATATCGCACAGTTCTCTATACAGAATCCATTTCAGCCACACATGCATGCGCCTAGACCAGTTATGCAAAGGATTGATGATAATCTCCATTGGGAACTTGGATAGTGTTAACACCACGTGTATTCTTTTTGTTATTCTGCATATCATATTATAGTGGCAAATCAAAAACTCCGTGGGTCAGCAAAATTAATGTATCACGCTACTCTTTTCACTGGGTTTTCTTCCAACATATCTTCTTCATCACAGTTGCGTGGAAGAGTAAAATCTGGCACCTCTTCAATATCATCTACAGGCTAATAATGAGAAATATGCAAGCAATTTGGTTACCAGAACGAAAATAAGATGAAAATGTCAAACACATGAAAAACCGTCTACCTGCCATAATTCCAATAGCTGCCACAACAAGAAACCAACAATCATGACCAAGCAAAACAGCTTGCCTGCCCAAGCTCCACAGAAGAGATATCTAAAAGAAAAAGAGACTATCACAGGTAGAAGTAACTCCCAGTTCATTACACCAAGTATACTTTAAAATTGAAATGGCATCAATCTTCGAATAAAGAGGAAAAGCTTTTGAATTATTATAATCAAATTCATGTTCCTCATTCTATTTGAACTACAACCCCTATAATTGCCATGGTATTAAGCTGTCGAATGAAGATCCACAAATACATTTAAATACCAAATATCCGCAAGCTTATGTTACAACCAGATTAAACAAAGTTATGCTGAAGTAATTAACAAGGGTCACATAACTAAAACTGAATGAACAATGGAGTTCCCATTACAAATATAAATATATGCTACCATTGCAAGCAAATTGAACCAATGATGTTTAGGGAGTACCGTGAGAGTCTTTCAAGAAGATTTTGATTAGAGCACTTCAAAGCACGATCATATACAATTTCAGTCCTTTTGGCAACATCATGCCAGTTGTAGAGTTCTCTCATCTACAAAAATAACATTAAAAAGAGGATCCAATTTACCCATTAAATGCATCAGAAAGACCACGTAAATAGCAAACTCACTCGATTATGCATGACTTGCGAATCAATTTTTGGCAACATAGATATTGCTTTTTGAATTGCATGCACCATATCACCCGGATCCGGCTCTGCCAAAACAATCATTTCATCGGGCAAAACCTATTAAGCAAATTAGTGAACTGGTATGAAGTACCTCGAGATAGCATTTCGAAATTAAGAAATTGAAATAAAACTGAAGTTCATACACAACACAACAATATAAAAGCTACACATTCTCAAACTGAACCAATATAGAAGGAAAAAGATTTTGCATCTACCTCAGGAACCCCTCCCACGCGTGTGCTCACTGTTAATAATCCACAACTTGCAGCTTCTAATATGGCTATACAAAAAGCTTCTGTTAAAGAACTGAAACAGTGCAGACATTATTAACGATTAAAAATAGATATGCAATTAAGTATTGTAACTGTTGCTGACGTGAGAGCCCCAATATCTGACAATGAAAGAACTCTGGCATCTAGGACTGCTCAATGTCCATATTTAGACAACAGAACTATAAATTTGTTGTTCTAAAGCTTACCGAAAGGAGAGACTTCCGACAGAAGCCGAACCTGTTTAAGAAGATGTGCCCAGATATTAGTACAGATCGGACTTGTACATGTTGCACAGCTCCCAACATTTCTACTCGATCTTGAAGTGAATGCTTTTCTCTCATCTCTTCCAACCGCACACGCTTAGGTCCATCACCACCAATAATGAAACGAACCTTCAAGTGGATATGAATTATGCCTTTAAAAGTCTATAATTACAAAAGGAAGAAACTAATCTGAATCACTTCTATAGCATTACATATTTCACTTGGAACTTGGTTCCTGTATGAGGACATCTACAAAGTAATGATTATGTATGCCTAAATCTTCCAAACGCACGCACAGCTATTTGTTCTTTCAATAGATAAAAAAGTTACATCACAGTGCAGATACAAAATTGAGGACATCAACTAAGTTTAATTAAGCACTAATATTTGGGAAACATATTAATATAGTACAATTATCAAAAGATTAGTACTGTGTGCATTGCACAAAGTACCATACAATCTTCAAAAGAAATATCTATATACTAACTGTCTGAATGCAGCCCCTAGTTGCCTATTCATATATTTTTTTACTAAATCTTAGAAGAGTGGAATTGAGGGAGCCTAGATATTTCACCATCAATTTAAGCATAAATTTTGACATTAGATGAGATCTCTCACAAATGTTTTTGAGTCAGCTGATAGAAGTCCATTGATAATGAATGATAAATGACAAAATGAACAAAACTTTATTCTACTAACATTCCTGTGTGCCCTATGTAATTCTTCATCATGAAAGTAGGACCATCACTCATTTTTCTTAAAGATTAACATGAATTAGCCTCCTGCATGAAATTATATGACGTCCTATTTTCCATCAGATTTTCCCTGGTAATTCTCTAACTCGTCAGAAAGCAATATGAAGATAACTCAGGGTGATATTGTGGCTTTATAATCGCTGCGGATAAAGTATTGCATCATGTTTTTATTATCATTTGGGTGAATATTTCATAACAATTGCTCTGATGTTCCACCAAATAACAGATTGCTAAAAACTCTTATTAAACTTTAAGGATCTAAAATTACAAAACTAGATATTTAGTAGATAGCACAAATTACAAAATTATAATTCTAGAACTAGACTTTAAGTAAAGGCACAGGTACTTCAGATATTGCATATATTTCATTCACCAACTACAGCTTAGAAACGGTCTTCTGAATAGCATCTATAATAAAATTCATTCAGAGCAAAAGAAAAAGTGCCAGAAAGAGGTTTTAATCAAAGTTGCAACTTTGAACGTCATAATATAAAGCTAAAACATTCAGAAAAGGGCCTTTAGCTTATTCACATTTCTTCCATGTAAGAACTCAATATCCAAATTTCCTACCTATGCAAGGCAATTAACAATGTTTTCATCAACTCACATTGGGATGTAATCGGCATACTTCTGGAATGACTTCAACAAGCAAATCAACTCCCTTACGATAAACCAATCTGCTTATAACAACAATAACAATATCGGGTCCGATAGGACGAGTCACTGCAGGCTTGAAAATGGCAGTGTCCACAGCATTAGGTACGACAAAAACCTTCTCAGGTGGCAAACCTGACCGCAACACTGTGTTTTCCTTGCTTGTATGGGAAACACATATGGCTTGACTCACATCTGCCAAGGTAAACTGTAAGACCTTGTTCATGTGGATACTTCCAACATCTGCAAAACCATACAGTGAATGATCTGTAAACACAACCTTGTATCCCATGGTTCTTGCATGCATAAGTGCTTCATGACAAAATGTTGAAAAAGCTTGGTGACCATGCACCACTTTAATTCTTTCTCGAATAAGAATAGTTCTAATAATTGGTAGTAATCCATAGAAGGTTGGTAATGTATTCTGCATAACAAACGGCCTCCATGGAACATAGTAGACTTTCAGACCACCGGTCATATATCTGACCCCAGATCGATTTCCATAAGCATGAGTTGCAACAACCACCTGAATAGCCATTTTATTGGAATTCAATTCATTACAAACAACCTCGGGAAACGTAAGAAAAAAGCTTAAATTGCTCTCCTTCCCCATATATTATGGAAACCCACACAAAACTCTCGTTTGCAACTAATTCGGAGTGCTGCCAAACCTTATTAATTTAACTTAGTGTCTACTTGGTTTAGCAACAGTTAATTTTTATATTGCTAGTTTGCTGGATCTGATTTCTCTACAGTCAACGTTTACAAGTGTATTCACGTGATTAGTAATTTGCAACTGTAAGACAGTTCATATTTTATCTCGACAAATCAGAGTTGAAACATAGATTTGAGATTTAAGCCACCCAATCATGTCACACAAAATTGACTGTGTTAATGCATGAAATTTCAGACTGCATTGAATACATATATCCCTAGTTTGCGGCTACTCTATCATGTTGAATCAGCATAGTCGAACATCCAATTCAGTTTTCATCAAATGTATATTGAATGAATGAAAGAAACAAAAAACATTGGCCTACCTTGTGGCCTAACTTTAGCAAACATTGTGAGAGGTAATAAATATGATTCTCCACACCCCCAAAGTTCGGATAGAAAAAATCTGACACCATCAGAATTCTATGTTTCTGAGGATCATCCATCATGTCCCAGCACACTTATATATCGGCCTGCATAACTAAAATAGCATTAATAATAATAACAAAAATTAGAGAGATCACTCACTATGAAAGCTCTGCAAACCCTAATACTATCGAGAAATGAAAGACACAACAAAAGCGGAAGCAATGAACTCAAAAAACAATACAAAATCAAAATTAGTTGTATAAAAATCTATTCAGCAAATCCCTGGATACAAAATAAAAAACAATACCGTTCATATTTCTAAACAAAAATAAAAACAAAATCCAACCAAAAACAAATCATACTCATGTGATATGATCTCCATATATAACCATGTGGGGTGGGGTTGCCGTTTTTGGTGTAGTTTTAGTAAAAAAAATTCTATTTATGATAATTTATGCGTGTGTCAAATATTTAAGCACTAAATTCCTAAAATAACTACTTGAGACATTGTTTTACATTCGCTTTTAAAAAGTATTCATATGTACAAAGAATAAAAAGACTCGAAAGCTTTTAAATGTAAAGTCATATTTCAAGGTTTTCCTAATTCAAACTGTAATTTTTTGTTCCAGTTTTCAGCACCAAATGCCTGATTAGGAACAGATCTTGTTTTGTGAATATACAATCAATCCATCCAAGATTCACTTAGACTTCTACTGGCAAGATAATTATTTCTATTTAATGTGATATTCCAATAATCGTATTCTTCTTCAATCAATTAATTATACACTTATGAAGCCATCATCAAATACTAATTCAGTTTCATGATTCCAACCGGTAAACATGTTGAATTAAAGTTAGCGCGATAAAATTTAAACAACTGAGAAAAATAAAATTTAAAAAACGCATGGATGAGTCACAGATCACAATCCATATATACCGAAACATGTTCAAACACAATTTAAGAGAGGAACATGCCTCTTGTTAGTTCCGTATTACTGATTGGAATATATTATGGCTTCATGGAAACAGAGAAACCATTGAACAACTGATGCTTTGTCAAGTCAAAGGTACCCTGCGACCACAAATAACACTAGAACCTAGAAAGATACAGCCTAGATCCTCAACCACGTACATGATTATCGCGACTACACCTATAGGAAACCCAAAAATATTTTCGTTCCAGAAGCACCGAGAAATAAGGGTAGGATTTAGGAAATAATTGAATACCTGTCTTTTGTGTGTCGTCGCCGCTGCACCTAGGTGGTTCGCCGTCGCCGCCGTTCGTGGTGGTGGTCCGTGTCCGCGGAGAAGGTGATGAACGAAAGAAATGAAAGTAGAGTTTGGAGGAGATTTGAGATGAAATGATCGTGCACGTGCAGGGAGGATGTGAATGATTGGGCCTTCCCGGCCCAAAGGCCATACATACAATATATTGCTTGATGCACCTCATAGTTATTTCTATATCTCAACTCAAATATTTAAAATATTATTTTTATAATTTTTTTACCCTAACTTTTCTTTTTATTTGTGTATAACTTCTTCACCTCCATTTCTTAACTATTTAACTTTTTTGTGTTATTACCTCATTAAAGGTCTCTTCTAACAATTAAAGATAAATAATAGTTAATGTTATGTATGAATGATATGTTTCCGCACTTAAATTACACAAACAGACTCAAATTGTTTAATATAAAATAGTGTTGTAAAAATAAGGTTGAATTCTAAACACTCAATCTAAAATGTATTTTCAAATTGACTTTTACGAAAACGCATCTTGAAACATCCATTCCTGAAACACATTATTCTGAAACAACCAATCCGGAATACATTCTGAAAATCTTCTTGTTGTTTTGGTGATCTCCTTTTTTGTGCAGTGTAATTTTGTATTATAGTTAGGACCAGGGGAGGTGGTTCTTAATCCTCAAATCGTATTCGCCTAACTACCTCGGTAAGGCATAGGGTTGTTAATCCTCTAGTAGATGAACAATATCAAAATCCTCCAGTCATGATCAATCTTTTTTAGGAGGACATGTAGATCCTACTTTATTAATTACATATGGAAATCATGTCGTACATAGTCTATGAGAAGAAGTGATAAGTGTATTTCATATAAGTTAGGATTTATGTTTTAAGATCGTGGGGAGTTAAAATGTGTTTCCCATAGAAAAAAAAATGAATAAGTTGGTGGTTTCATACTCGCAGATTGTCGTTGTATTTAGTTATCAGGGTTGGAAGCACTTGTGGGTGTTAGTTATGAGACGGTAGATAAAAGACTATTATTTGTATTTGTTAAAAGATGACATAGTGAGACTAGTAACTTTCATTTGTCTATAGGTGAGATAACCATCACACTAAATGATTTATCTTCATTATTGCACCTGTCAATTGTTGGTCAATTATGTGCTGGTAAAACTCTTAGGAGTTGATTTTGTATGACTTTTGTAGAGATGATACATTGTCGAGGTGAACATGTTTGTCTTAGTTAGTTATGCAAAGTGTATGATGATGTTTGTACACACACAAGATATAAAATTGTAACTATAGCTTATTTGATGCATCTAATGGGTTGCACGACTTTTTATGACAAAAGTGCAACCTCTATTAGTGTATCATATTTTGGTTTATTTTGAGATCTGACCAGTTGTGTCTCATCAAACAAATATTAGTGAATTCATTTGTCTTACTTTAATAACTTCATTAATTGTTTCATTTCAGTTTTGTGGCCTCTTATACTTTTATGATATATGTATCTTGCATTTTATACTTGTTTTATACTCGTAACATTCCCTTCAAGGTAAGTGAAATATTTTTAGGTTTTATCAAACTCTTTGTCATATCAACTAGCATAGACTTTTCATTTCTGGTTAATCTACCAAGATATGGATGACTTACTAACGTATAAGCAAAGTAATGATTATGACTTTCATAAACTAACTTCAGAATTCATCATTTATAGATTTTTCTCTTAGTTTAAAAGGATACTCACATTTTTTTACTTCCTATAACAGTTGGCTGCAAATCTTTTTTATATTTCTTATATTTACCACCTCTTTTACAACCTAACAATACATATGTCTTTCTTCTTTGATCATTATCCGTTGTATCCAACCTGAGTATAATAACCACAAATTTAAACATAAATGCAACCTCTCGGACCCATTTCAATAAATCATTTCGTGTAGCAAATATCTATATCAATGAATATAAAATTAATAATATGCAATTTATAAGTTATATCATTAATATATAACTAAAATTTTATCTAATATATTGTGAATGCATTAATACAATATACCAAATTATCAAGAATGTCATTTTCTATATATTATCTATCCCCATTAATATGTCAATTTTATTTTACATACTATTATTTAATAAATCTTCCTCCGAGACTACTTTTATGGAGGATGAGATACATTCTTTGAAATCAATTATAAAAAGATGGGTTCAAAATGGAAAATCAATTATGGAAATATATTTTAAAATGTACTTTTTAAAATACATTTTTAATTAATTTTTTAAAAATACATTTCATAAAACATATTTCAGAATATATTTTAAAAAAAAATTATAATTTTTCTCCTTACAATATGTTTCCAGCAAAAAAAAAAATTGTTACATGAATATTATACATGTAAATAATTTTATACAAAATAAGTAGTTGGATATTTTTACTTGATTCTTTTAGTTTTTGGAATAATAAGAGAGGAAATAATAAAAATATACTTTCTTCTTCGGGTGCATCTCCTCTATAATCTTTAATCTTCTTTCTTCATCTTCACTGCACCTCTATAGCTGTTTCAAGAGGATTCATTTTCACTCTTCCAGGTTATAAATTTCTTTGGTCATGGATTATGCTCTGAATCTACGAGTTGCATGGTGAATTTATATTTATAATTTTGATTCCTGAAATCTAATCATTATTAATATATTTTTTATATTTATGATTATAATCTTTCGTTTATTTTTTTTTTCGTAAATATTAAAATAAATTATTAAATATATTCTCTTTGTGTTTATAATATATGATTTTATTTTTAAATATATCAAAAATTTAAAACTGTATTAATTATTTTTTACTATTATACCCTTTCTTTTCAAAAGTATGAAAATAAATAAAATACTAATTTATGAAATTTTAAATAAATTGTAAATTGCATGTGATTACATTGATGATATACGGTTAAGGTGAACTAAAATTTGTATCAACCAATAATATGAAAAATAATTTATTATTTTTTATCTTTTCAATTGACTTCACACTAATATTTAAACTTTGTTTTATTTAAAAATAATATTTACGACGAAAATGCACTGAATCTAATTAAAAAGAAAGATAATTAAATGAAAATAACAAACAGAAAATAAAAAAGTCAGAATTATGCTTACAAAAAGATAACATGAAAAAGGTTGAAGAATCTTTGGTAATTGATCAAGATGTTATAAAAAGTTTCATAAAGAAAAACACAAATCAACAAGTGATTTTGATGTAAATGTAAAAAAAATAATTATGTATTTAATTTGAATAAGTCCAAAAGAAAATAGAGACAGCAATGATGAAGGAGCAACTTAAAAAAAAAAAAAAAATTCTGGCCAATGCTTAAAAAAATGTTTAAAATTTATCTTCCAAAATTTTATTGAAAATTTTGTAATGTAAATTTTGAATTTCAAGTGAATTTTGAATCATTAATATTTTTGAAATTTAGAATTTATCATTCATATTTTATTGTTGCTCTAGTCCATATTTATTTGTAAGGAATCAATGATTATTTGTAACTAATCAATAAATGTTGTATAAATGGAGTTTTTTTTTCTTTTATACTCATGTTTGTAAAACAGCAGTTTTTTTATTTTAAGATATAAAATATATAAAGAAAAAATATAAGTGATATTAATTTTTTTTGGGGAAACAAATTTTTTCCCATAATTTTCAAATGAAAATTATTGGTGATAGAATGTCTAATAATAAAAAACATAGAGGAAATATTATTTTTAATAAAACAAGGAAGAAAGAAAAAATAATTTATTATCATTAATTTTGGTGGAGGGAGAATAATAACGTAATAAGGTATTATTAAAAAATTAATATACATAAAAAAAGTTATTTTAATTATGAGGCTGCAGAAAAAAAAAAAAGTATTCAATGATAGAAGAACGTCCTTTAAAGTTTACATGGGAATTGTGGTTTAAAAAATATAATTGGGCTTCGGCCCTTTCCCTCTGGGCCTTTATCTTCTTTATCCCATGGATTTCAAAAACTAAATTCACAGTTAAATCAATAAAAATATATCTAGATAAAAAAAATAAACCAATGCATTTTTTGAATAATTTAATGCCACCTTTCAATTTTCAAGGAACAAAATGAATGGTAAGAAATTGTAATTTCACATGTTTTGGTTTATTTCATGTGTAAAAAATTATCGAGTAAGCAGCTACAATTATAATACCACAAGTGACATAGTGAAAACATTGGACAAAAAAAAAAAAAACTTAAAACATTTTTAAAATTTAATTTTAAATTTTAGTCTCTGAGATAAATGTTGGCCTTGTTTTACAACCACAAGTCCTACGCAAATGCCACAAACGTGTCTTAATTGCTTAAGAAGGCAAAGGTAAACCCTACAGTTGAAGGGCCCACTACCACAAAACCTATTGTTAGGGTCACCTCAGAATTGTGTCGATTGAATTCAACGGGCATTTGGATGAATTTCAATATTTTTTAATCTTAATTTTTGTCAACACATTCCAAAAAGTTTTTTTTTTTCATTTCATGAAAAAAAGTACTTATTGTAATGAATTTCGTTGTTAAATAAATTAATATGTAACTAAAGTTTATTAAAATAATAATTTAGCTATTTATATAAAGACGTCTTATATAATTTGTGAAGAAATTCATATATCTGAGATTATTTAACTTTTAACCGTTAATTTACTTTTATTTTAGTATTTGATTAATGCATGAAATAAAGAAATTTGCTTCGTTTCATAAAACAAACTATTAAATATGCAAAAACTACATAAAAACATTATAAAGAAAAAGTACTGTGCTGTAAAAATTTTAAATATTTTAAATTTTTTAGGCATCCATTAATTCAATATTACTCAATTGTTGATTTTATTTGAATCTAATAAAAAAATTATAAAAAATGATATAAATCTAATCAACCTAATCCAAACTATTTTAATTAAATTGAAAAACGGATTTAATGAAACTCAACACACCCCAAGTAAAAGTAAAACTTTTATGTTCAACTTATATACGTTCAATGATTCAATAAATCTTTTGTTATACTTTCAGAATTGTTATTTATGGTATATTTTTTTATTTATTTAATCGTTCTCTATCTCTTCTACGTTTCCTTTTCATATATATATATATATATATATATATATATATATATATATATATATAATAATAATAATAATAATATTTGAAATAATTTAACGGAATTCAAATAAATAAATTTAATTTGGATTTATTATAACTATCTTATGTATTTCACTTATATATAACATGTGTTTCCTTTGCATCTCACATGGATTTTAGTTTAGTTCTTACGTCAAAACTCTCTTCACTATTTTACATTAAAAAAATGTTTATAAATTAGTTGTTTGTCGTTTACTAAAGTTACAATAATGCAAACTTTCATTTTAGTTTTTTGTATAGCTAGGGACCGAGATGAAAACGATGTCCATTATGTCAAAGGAAGTAAAAATGAGATTTTTTTTATTTTTTTTTATGTATGGACAAAAATAACGTGTAATTTTTAAAATCAACTTATTTAGTTGTCTACGTTTTTGAAATTAAACAATTTTATGACTGTTGAACTCCCTGGTTGAATTGGATAGGTGATGACTCGAATGTCGAATGGTTGTAAAGAAAGATTCTGCACCATTCATTGGTGTTGATTGGTGGTGACGAAGAAGTCAAACAAAATCATATGCATTGTATGTTTTTACAGGGAATTCTCATGAGTAATGATTTCAAGACCGTTAGATTCAAGTATATAAATATATATAGAGAGAGAGATTTTTAAGTGAATTTTACGAGTCAAAATGACCGAATGTTTTTCAAACAAAATTATTAAAGGAAGATATTTATTGAAATAAAAAGTTAATTTTGTTTGAATTATTACAGAAACCCTTTGATTGCGTCTAAATAGATCTCAAAACAATATTTCTTTGTTCATATAGTAACTATATTTGAAGAACTGTGTTGACACAATGAAAATCTTTAGCAACACTACGAGGGGTGGAAAACTCTCAAATTAACAACCACTCATATAGAAAAGGGTTCATGCCGTCCCCAAACTAATATTTACAACTATGCATTTTAGATAAAAGGATAAAATATTAATAACATATTTGTTCTTGTTGGCTTTCAAAATTAAATTTGAATTCAAGCTATAATGTATACCACCTCACTATTAAATTTAACAATGTTATTTTGAGTTTTTTTAAGTCCATTAATGTGAAAATTTTAATCTTAATGTATGAAATGTAAATTTATATTAAAGTAATTAATCAATTTAAAAATGCTGAAAATTTATATTTTTATACTCAGTGATGGACCTTCATCATTATATAAAAATTGTTAAATAATATATTATTAATAAATAATAAATAAATAAATAAAGATAAATTAAAGAATATAAAAGAGAAAATATCAAATATATATATATATATATATATATATATATATATATATATATAATACTCATTAGGTTTAAAAAGTGAAAATCATAAATATTAATATAATTTATAAAATTTTGGACACCTAATCCTTTTTCTTTCATGAAGGTGTGTCACTGTCTTTAATAATAATCGTAATAAATATATGTCTATATACGTGGAGAGATCCACTTTCTCTCTATTAATAATCAATTTGAGAGATTTATAATAAATATTCACTTCTTCTAATTTTTGTTTGTTTTTTCTCTTTTTTATCTTTTTTTCCGATTGATTTTTTAATGTCATTTTAAGTTACTCTTATTTATTCTCATCTTCTTTAGAATCCTCTGAATATTAAACAACAATTCCTCCGTACAACTTATTCAATATTCAAAATTTTAAAAAAATTAATCCATCTTTATCTACTTATTATTTCTTCTAAATCTTTAGAGAATTTTATCTAGTCTTAAATATATTATTAGTTACTAGTGCTATAAAAAATTTCATTAGTCACTAAAATAATGTAATTCGTCAATAGTAAGGATGTATATCAATTACATATTTATATATTAATATCAATATTTAATTACAAACTTTAACAATAAAAATATGTTAGTATGTTTTATCAGTGATTAGAAATTAATGTAAAATAGACTTTTTATTATAGTTATTTTTTATCAGATTAATAAGTAATTGATTTTAAAAAATAATATTATATTTTTGAAATTAAGAAATTTTTTTACCCTAAAACCTTATAAAAATATTTTTATGTGTCTTTTTTAGGGTTTTGCGTGAGAGTTTTATTATTCCAACGATAGTCAATGTTATTACAGGAGATTTCCAAATGTGCTTTTCGATCATAGTAAACAATGAAAATATTATTGTGACTCATTGGTAACTCTGATAGGATTAGAGTACTTAGACATCTCAACTATGGTTAAGATTAGTGCTCTGCGTTTTTATTTTTTTATTAAAATTGAAATCATATTGTTATTGAAAATTTCACAACGTATGAAGGTAATAAGAGTTATTTATTTGTTTCTTTGACAATTTTACTTTCTTCTCTTGTAAAGATTTCAACATTTAACCAAAATTAACTTATGTTGAATTGAGAACCTTAATATCCAAGAATTTTTTTTTATATATATATTTTCTTGCTTACTTGAAGAGAATTCTACCATGCAAATAATAAAATTCATGTTTTATTTGATGATGAATTATCTAGTATCATTTAAAACTATTTACTAACGATTATTTATGATACATTTTTATATGCTTAATTTTACTTGAAAAAATTAGTCTGTGAGTTTAAAATTGTTTTTAAGTTAAAATAATGTTAGATAATGTTTTGAAAAGTTATAAACAATCTTCTCGTGAGCTTTCAGATTAGGTCTTAATAGTGTTATTTGGGATCAAATGAATACATTTTTCTTCTTAAAGATGAAATTTTATCTTTTAAGTTGTGGATAGGAGTTTTGATTTGTAATTAATTGAAAATTATTATGGAGATCATAAAGATTTATAGCAAGTTTTTTCAGTACTCCTTTACTCAAAGTTGGGATTATTGGGCTTTCAAATAAATTCCCCGTTAGACAACCTATCTCACAAGGTGTGTTTCATCAAAATAATGTTTTAGTCTTATTTAAGATATTGTTTCTTAATATTAACAAAATAATTTTTCCATTAACATAAACATTATGATTTTTTTTATTAAATATTAATAAATTATTTAATCATTGCATTGTTTAAATTAAAAATTATTTGAATTAAACTACTTTTAGTCTTAACTATCAAAATTTCAAATATTAAATAAAAATTAAATTCTAATTTAATGATTTATTTATTAAATTTTTATTTTTCGAAATTACTATTTTCTTTTCGTTTAAAATAAAGATATAGATAATTTTACAATAATTTTATTTATTTATTATTATTATTAACGCAAATACAACATTTCATTTATTTATTATAAAGAAGAAGTATATTGTTAATTCTTGTTTTTAAAATTTTATTTCTTTATAACCTAACATAAGTTTATCCTAAATTTTATATTATAATTTAAAAATTTGATTAAAAATAAAACAGGAAAATAGTTTGTGTAAGGTGAAACCCATTGCACAACACAAAGCCTGGTTCATGGTGGTCTTCTTCTTCAGTGAGAGTTTGTCAGAGTGAGAGTACTGCGTCTGCCAATGCCATCACAGCTTCACCTTCACCTTCACCTTCACAGATATATTGGGAGCCTGCAACACAACCCAAGTATGCTCCACTGCAAACTCATCAATTCTAGAGATTCTCTCATCAAAGTTTCTTTCTCCACAACACAACCATTAGTTTAATTCTGTTGGCTAATAACTGCATGTTGATATCCTCTTGGACTTTTAATAAGGAGAAAACGTGGGAAAAGTAAATAAGTTTACAGAAAAGGCGAGTTAAATAATCAGAGAGAAACACAATTAGCCACAAGGATTCATGGCAGAAATTGCTATAGTAATAAAAATGAAATGAAACTGGAAATTATTGTAGGTTGACCTTTATATATCTAGAAATAGAAAATAAACATTGGAGGGGAATGAAAGGTGACAGGTGAAGAGGGTGCGTGTCACGTGGCGGCACTGCATAGGTGATATAGCATTAAAGAAAGTGTACGGAGGGGCCCAAAGCCACGTGAAGAGAGCATGGAGATGGAAGGAAGGGTGTGAAGGAGCAGTTTACACGGTTTCCACTTTGCATTTCATATCTTCCTTTCTTCTGATAATTTCTCACCATACACTACCTTTCTGACCCACACAACACAAATCACTACTTTTTCATTTTCAATTTATCACCTTATAAATATCTTCTTCCTTCAACACAAGTTTTACTTTTCCTTTCTTTAAAGTATCTGATAGAGAAAGCTGTTTGAAGGGAAGGTTTGTTGTTTGGATCTAATAACTCATGTTTAAAAATATTGATAAAAGATGAGGTGTCATGTCAGGTATATTAGAGAATGTACTGTTCTGAGTGGACCCTTAAATTTTGGACAAGAAGTTGCAATGCAAGGATGAATGTAGTAGGAGTTGATGCTGGAACCGTGTGCGTGTGGGTGCAATTATTCACCACTTCAACCTGTTTCATTGCCTAGTTAGTAACGATCATCGCATTCAATGTCCAATCAATACTCGTAGCATCCTTTGCTTCGTCACTGTCCAGGACCACTTCCAATCTTTTTCCTTCACCTCCACTTGTTTCCCTTACTATGCTTCCTCTCTTTATTCACATATCATCATCCTTTCCTCTATCATTGAATAAAATGGGAAGAGAACAATGGCAATTTTTAAACTATGGCTATTGTTTTCAGGGAATGATTTTTAAGCTACTATGAATCCACGGTGATGATGAACGAGGGGGAACGAAAGAGAAAGAAGAGATTGTATCGTGGTTACGATTTTTGTTTGATGGAGAAAAAGCAAGAAAGATGCAGAGGCAGACCAGACCAGATTGTACGGATTGGGCCATGTGGTGTTCCGATGTGGGACCGTGGTGGGAGCCTCCCTTTGACAAGAGAGAGAAATTTTAGAATTTTTTTTATCTCACACAAATTATTATTTATACGTTAATATTGAACATCGTGAGAGGAGAAAAATGCTAAAATATGACTTAAATGAAGTAAGTTATTTGACAAATGGTAAAATATCACGTTCTAATAATATAATTTCTTTATAAAAATGCTTTTTACTTTTTAGTTTATAAATTGAGTTTTGATTCATTATATAATCCGATTTTAACCGTTTGCGTTGAAGTAAATCAATTTATAAATATTGTTCATTTATATTGTAAAAATAATGATTTTTAATTTATTTGAAAATTTTATAAATTTTAAACATAATTTAATGCAAGAACATACGAAATATACTAATATTTGACCCAAATGTATAGATTTAGGATTTTAATTTCAACCTATCATTTTTAAAATATATTTAATTACGATAATATAATTAATCTATAATTAAAAGTCTTCCAATCATATGATAATCCATTATTTGCTAAGGTATATTATAGGATATAAAATAAATCAAAATAAAGACCAAATTAACTAGGTTAAACGAGAAATGATTACAAAAATAAAAATATATGAAACTAATAATAATCAAAATATTTTTTATGGTTTATTTTATTTTTAGTTATTATTACTTCTATATAAAAATACTAATTATTTATTTAACAAGACTACATATTTAGTAAATGACATTTTAAAAACGCAATTTAAATTGGTTAATGAATTTTGTATTGTTAGTTGTCAAAATAAAAATACTATTAAAAACTATATATTAAATTTAATGTTTTTTTAATGAATAACTAATCCATACTACATTCACTTGATTTGACTTAAATTTATTATTACATGTAAATTAAATTAAATTAAATTAAAGTACATTGTTCTTATGTAAACAACAAACACATAGTTGTGATTAACCATGTGAATTAATTAGTAAAAAATCGTTTCAATATAAGTAATTTTTTAATTTTAATGATTAGATATATATGTTGTGCTTATATGCTGTGAGGATAATCCATGTTTAAATCTTAATTGATCTCATCTGCGAATATAGTTAGTGAGCATGTTTTGTCTTTGGTCCATTCGGATTTGAGATAGGGTAAACCCATTAAAAAATTGTACACAAAGCTTTTTATTTTTTATTTTTTTATTAATGAAAATCGCCAACTATATGTAACCACAGCAATAAGATTGGAGAAAGGAACTGGTCGAAAACAAAGATGAACTTCACGAGAAACATCAAAATTCGTCTGAAAATAACACTTTCATTTCCTCTCGTAAAGTGTGAATATCAGTACAGCTTTGTAATTCTTAATGTGAATAGAAGAACAGAGGGTGCGTTAATCCATTTAATAAGGTGACAAATTACCGATAAATGTGGCATACGGTCGTTTCTAGCCAAAGACTAGATATAGAACATTCATTGTTTTTTTTAATGGAAGACCCTAAGGTCTATTTATAGTCTCATTTTAATCTTCTTCTCTTTTTTCAGCAGTGAATTTTGCATATCTTTGTGTATTTGTATCCATCAAGTTTACGTGGATGAACTTGCAAAATACACGAGATATTGTTATCTGACTTAAATAAAAATATAAACTAGATTAAATATCGATCTATAGAAGTTTAGTGCTGAAGAGATTTGACGGTGCATGTGTGACATAAAACACATTGTGACCTAACTTGATACAATCTTTATAAAAGCTCAGTCTATACTTTCGCTATAAGGAGATGATGGTACAATTTTAATTCAAACCTCCCAAGGAATTATAAACTTATAAATGCTTCTCGAGAAAATGTTAACAATACTGTGAAAATACTTGCAATTTTTGATGTTTGGCCAACGATGAATCTGCTGTGTAAAAAGTTGATGCTACAAAATGCAGAGTGAAGGGTGAGTGTGATAGATAAGCTTTAAGCAATCAGAATCTTGATTTCCAATAAAGAATTGCATCTGGTTTGAAATGACTGATGAATACACATGTGAAATACTAATAAATATTTGGAAAACATAAAAATCCAGTTGTTGATATCAGTGGTGAGTGGGGGAAGAAAGTGATATGAAGCTGGGCATTGTAGAATATTCCGAATGGTGTGCATCTGTGAATTGTTATTGCAGTCTGAACAAATGGAGCTAGTTGCTACTGCCAAATATTTTCCTCGGAAAAAGATGTGTTGGCTTTTATCCCCCATAACATTAAGCATAACTAAAATTATTGCCATTTTGAAACATGATTTTTTTCTATTATGTTAACACTTAAATATTGATTAAAAAGGGACCCAAATAAACTAAATCCAGCGAGAACTATGTACCTTGGTAACTTCATGTATTTGAAAGAAAAAGGGAATAAACTATCGGTGCTAAGTGGTTGAGGATAAGGGCACGAAATTGGGGGACCCGTCTTCTGCTCTTGTAAGACTACTCTAAGATAGTGTGTATCCTAATAGACCATGACAATGTAGAAGTCATTTTTTGAAAATTTCCAAGTTGAAACTTGTTTTATTTTTCTTCATGAAAAGGATTTGTTCTTAGATGTAACGGTGGAAGACTATTCTCAAAGGAGTATGTAGAAACATGGATTGAGACAACTTCTAGCAATGTAGAAGAGCCATGAAAAAGTCATATTTGAGAATCAATATATATATTAAGTTAGGAGAGTCTGAAGCAGTCATAACATAATTAATTATAGGAGTTAGAATTCATACAACGATGTTGTTCAATTTATCAGTTTGACAATCTAATTCCAAGTTTGGAAAAGTATTCTTAAATGCATTAGTATATGTTTAAAGTATATATTATATGTTGAAAGATTAAATGAAAATGGCTGAATGTCCACTTCATGGTGAATTTGAACTATAGTAAGAAAAACAAAAATTTAATATATAATAATAATAATAATAATAATAACAATAATTTAATACCTCTCTTTAAAATATACATCTACTTTATAACTCAATTATAATAAAATAATAGTAATATTTATAAAAATGTTATTATTATTAATTTTATATTATAATTGAATTGTTAAATAATTATATTATTTTATAACAGAATTGTCTAAAATATTTATTATCATTATTATTATAATTATATATATAGAACTCCTTTAGAAATTACTTTTTTATTGCTTGATATATTATCTATCTTAATTTATATATATATATATATATATATATATATATATATATAAACTATATATTTACTCAATTCTTTTTTTTATTAAAAATAATAAAAAAATTGTTATTTTTCAATTTTTTTAAAACAATCTCAATTAAATGTTTAAGTTATTTTTCACTCTCTCCTTTGAAACTCTCTCATATTTATTTATATTCAATTTTTTCTCTCACATAAAGTTAATATAAATAAAAGTAGTAAAAGATGGTTGTCTGTTTCCTTTTAAAACACTCCCAAATATACTTTTTCTATCATTTCTCATTCTTAAAAAAAAATATTTTATATTAAAAAAACATCATAAAAATGGAGAGTACAAACATGTGTTTTCGCTATAGTATATATAATGTAATAAAATAAAGGTACTAATGACGTCTATTTTTATAAAATGTTAACTTAATTTTAATAAATACTGTGATTTAAAAATAAATTAGGTTTATAGGCTACTATATTTTTCTGTACGATACTACCATTGATTTTACATAGTTTTAGATAATGTTATTTTTTTAACAATAGAAAAGAAATTTGATATAGTGATTAAACATATATAAATTCAACATTCTAGAGAAAATCTATAGAAAAATATAAAGAGACATCCAACAAACTACCCATTTAATTATCCATTGAAAACCTTTATTATAACTAATAAAAATTAGATAAAAGAATATATAAAAATAAAACAATAAACAAAGGCATAGAAGTTGGTGTTGTTGGGGTGTTTAGTAAAAAAAGTAGTACACCGAAAAATCCATGTTTATGTTTGATTCTCGTATAAAAACTTGTTGAAGTATAGTTAGTTCTAGGATTATGATTAGTCTATGAACCAAAAGGGTAGAAGAAATTCAGTCACCTAATATTTACTAAATTAATAGCCCACTAAGTTTAAAAGTATTAATTTTGTGTTTATATTATAATGTCACCAATGGCCACTTTTTCTGGTAATATTTATTTTTGGTAAAGTTTTTAGGGTAATATTTAATATCACCCCAATAACATTGATTTTTTTTATAAGTGTTCTAGTACACTAAAAGAGATGTATATTCAATTTAAGTCCTTTAAAATGTTAAGTAAATCCACATCTAACTTAATAATTTCTAAACTGATTTATATATGAGTTTTACACCACCTTTGAATGAATGAAATTGGGAATTTTAATGAAATTGGGAATCTTGTAAAATGAGGAATGTGGACTTGATTAGTTGTCACACTTTAAAACATTAAATAATAATAATAATAAAAAAGACAACAACTATACATTTTTATGCCCTACACACTTATTTGGAAGAATAAATATATACTATCTAAATTTATAAATAAATAAGTATATGATTTTTAAGTGATTATATAATCCATTAATATATTTTAATTTTGATATTTATACATGATTATATAGTTACGATTTACTAATCTTACTGATAATAATTTTATTAAATGACTATTTAAAATTTTGATATGATAAAACAATTAACAAAAATGTTGTATCTTACTATCACAAAATAATAAATTATTAATTTGTATTATACCTATTTTGAAATTCATATGTAGGGTCGTAAATGAATTTTCATTGTCTGATATATATGGATAGAAACTGATTAAACTGTCTGAGACTTATGGTCTAATAACTTAAATCATGTTTAAACTAAGCTATACTTTTTGAAAAAATAAATAAATTCAATTTTTTTATTAAAATGTTAAACTTTAGACTATTTAAAACGAGTTTTAAACTGAATATAAACTTATTAAAGTTAATATAAAATAATATTTGATATATATATATATATATATATATATATATATATATATATATATATATATATATGCATGTATCATATTACAATTATATATTTATTAAAATATTAAGTACATTGACTTATGAAAAGCCAAACTTAAAAACTTATTAAATTGCAAAATTTTTCTCAGTGTAGGAGTTTTTGTTACAAAATAACTTTTTTTGATAGAATGTTATAACCTTTTAAGTTAAGTTTCTATCATATAAACACAGACATTAAACTAAACTATTGCAAAATCTACTCTTTAATTTCAACAAGAAATATATTTTAAACAATGGTCTATTTACTTCACCCTATTATTCTCAAGACTTTTATATTGTTATAATTAATGAAAGATAAATTTTGATTAAAAGTATAATTGAAAAAATAATTTTCAAATCATGCACATGGTTGGGCTATCATATGGTTTTGTGGCGTCAACCCTCCGCCAATGAAGTCGAAATTAGGGTTTAGGGGAGATTAGAAAGAGTATGTAGCCACATAAAACCCGGTACAGTACCATATATACAGCTAAGTCCAACCAATGGGAATATAGAGAAAGCAAATCACCAATTTCATTACCGATATATATTTTCATCCATCACTCAGATGCGTTCCTCCCTCTATATATTAGTCCCCAACCTTCATCTACTGTTACCACTCAACACTCCCTTGCTTCTCTCTCTTCCCACCTTTTTTTTTTAATTTTCTTCTTAGTTTTCCCCTCAGGGTTAGATCTTAGGCGTTTTGGGACATAATCTATATATATTTTATATATTCTATATATATCTCCTTCTTCTGATTCTACTCTGATCTATAATCTATTTCAAGTCTACAAATATAAATATGATGAAATATTTGGATGTTCTTCTTGTTACCTTTGAGAAACTACTCCTTCCTATATGGATTTGCCGAGGTACGTGAGTCTTTCCCTGTTGAGGGATTACTGTTTGGTTTTGATTCTTACATCAAGGGTTCTTACTTTTCTTTTTTCAAATCTCTTTTCTCGTTTACACCAAGCGAAAGTATGGTTCTTTTTAATCGACACAGCAAAACCTGTAGATTGTAAAAGAATAGTTAAGTGGTTTTGAATCCGGTTTGTTTTGGTTTTCTTCAATTTTTGGAGGCTCTGAAAGTAAGCGCTTTTGTGGTTCTTTATACAGTGGTTGAATTTTCTTCTTTCTTCCTTTTTTTTTTAAATTGAGAGATTTGGCTTTTCTTTAGTTCCTGAGGTATGAATTGAGTTCATGTGGTTAGATTCCATTCGGGTACCCAACTGGCCTCGTGTGCGAAACATACACTAACCACTTGCAACTAGCCACATCAGCTACTCCTCGTGGCCTTGCTGCTGAAATTCCACATGAAATCTCGATTTTTTGTGTCCCCTCTTTCTTTTCTATTTTTTTACCCTCTCTTGCTTTCTCTCTGTTTCATGTTGTTCCCCCCTTTTTTTTTATTTTTCCCTCTCGACAAATTTCCGTGACATTAATTGGTCTTCACTCTTTGAGTAACCTATGAGGCTTTTTAGCCATACATACGTTTCACTAATATTGGTAATAATGCTAGCTTCTAAATATATACACATGTGTATGTGTGAACATACCTTTCTTTTTTCAGAAGCTATAGTTGCATGGACAGATTGACAGTCGTTGTTTGCGGATGTAGCATCATCAAGATTCACATGCAAATGAAGGTGGATGGGACTCTGATGCAATCTAAGTGCTCTGCCAATCCATTGGTCTTTTTGATGTGAGAATCTTGATGATGCTGCATCAGCCATAAACGACTTTAAAAAGTTAAACAGGTACTACTAGTTGAGACCCCCCAATAGAAGAGTGGAGATAAAAGAGAAAGAAAGTGGGTAGGTGTATACACACAGAGCTCAAACATCCAGACGCTGTCCATGAGACCATGATGCATAACAGTATAGAGGTGACTCTTTCTGCTTTCCTTTCTGTTGTTGTCAGGTGGCTTTTTTCATGCATCTATCTTTTCAGTTTGCAATTTGCAGTGCTAAATTTTTATTTATTCACATTACTGGATGGCCTTCCTGTCTTTTAAATATTATTATTGTACACTAATTAGGCCTTTTGCATTTGCAGACAGTCCTAGGTTATCGAATATTGGCTATTTGGATTTTGGAGGCTGAGTGGAGCGGCTGTGAGTATTAGGTCCTTTATGTGCTGACTTCACAGATCTATGAATATTCCTTTCCAACAGAAATGCTGGAATAGAAATGGTGTCTTTTCAGTTTCTTAATATATATTGCAACATCACTTTATCCAAATCTAGAGCCAACAATAAAGACACACACACATATAATGCAGAGAGCAAGAGAGAGAAATTAATATTTGGATTTTAGGTCGCTCATCAATGGTTCTCATGCTTCTTATATTATACCTTTTTTTATGATGGTTTGTTCAGCTTCTTCTATTCAGATCGATCCATCTTATATATGTATTTTCACCAGATGATATACTAAAAAAGATCTTCAGCCTGCAGTTTTGGGGTGCCAAATTATAGCATGGTAGATAGCAAGAGGATTTTGATTTGCTACCTTGATAAACTTGTGTTAGTTACTGATTTTTGTAGTTTTCTCGGTTGGGGGTGGGGTTCCCGTGTACAAAATTTTGTCCTTGTTACAACATTTAATATTATATGCAGGAATGAAATATATAATAAATATGGACATTCTTCCAAGTGGCTTGCATATGAGGATCACTGAAAATTGAAGCTGGCTTGGAAATTGGATATGCCTAATCACGGACTTGGTCTTAGATTCATGTCAAAGCTTTGGTTTTAGCATGCACAAAATCACTATAATGAAGCCCTGGTTGGTTGAACAAGAACTAGACCCTCGGTAAGTAATCTCAACAGCAGAGATATTTCAACACAGCGAACCATTATTATTATTCACCCCCTCTTATATACATTATTGGTCCAAGATAAGTAGAAGAAGATTTTTATTTTAGAAAATGATATATTTCAATATCTTGCTCATTATTTATGACAGTGATGATTCAGTCTATTTATGATCTTATCATGGAAATTTGTGTGCTGGCATCGCTGTCCAATCTTGGTTCACATATTTTCTCTAGTTGTTCAAATCATGCCACACACTCTTCACTCACTATCTTGCCCTATTTCTTCGTACTGCACACAGATCTTCAAGTTCTCTCCCTCCCCCCTTTAGAGGATGCAAGGCCATTATTTTGTTTCAATTTTGACTGACATACAGGCAGTTAACGATCATAGAGTGTCTCTTTTTTGCTGTAAAAGTTGAGAAAGTATTTCAGTACAACAAAGATTAATCATGAGAGGAATAGAAAGAGAAAAAGAAATATGTGTATGCATGATATTACAAGTAAATGAAGAGAGCACATAGAGAAAAAGAATTTAGGTAGAATGATATCACAGTATAAAAGTCATTACACTATTATACAGTTATGTATTGCTATATAACTTAGAACTTTAAAGTTAAATATATAGCCAAGATGATTTCTAAATTTTTAATTAGATGATAGTGTAAGTTTTTATATTATAAATATATTAAAATTAAATTCGAGAAAAAATTATATAAAATTAATGTGTTATAAAAAATATTATATATATGTTTATAATATAACTTGTAAAAATTTGAAGCAGTACTGTTATGTATTGGCTATTGAAAGAGAAATATTGTGTATGGAGTATATATTAGCACGATGATTAATGACAGTAATTAGTATATACTCTATCTTGTTTCAGTTTATCAGTTAATAGAATATTCTCATATCTCTTTTGTAAATGTTTATTTCTTAATTATATTATATGTTTTAAAGAACTTTTTCTTTGTCTGTGCTATTAATTTGTACTGTTTTTTTTTGCTGTAATATATGATGCACAAGCTTATTCATGACTTAATATTTTTACAAAGTTGTCTTAAATTTGTGACATTTTGATTATAATTATGGTGGTGGTATTGCTGTTTATGCAGTTTTTACCCTGAGATTTTAAACCTAAGCTTTTAGAAGAAAATATCTTTCATTGCTTTTATCTTTATTAAAGTTTAAACCATGTTAGAATTATCATTGTTGGGTACGGAATGTGTACAAATATTGAGAGAAATATACTTATCTTTTGGATATGTATAAATTTTGAAAGGTTGAAACTTTATTTTTAATGGGAAGCAAATTTGATTTCTTTTATCCATCTTAATTAGAGTTAAGTTTTTTCTTCTTCTCTGGTACAGTTATTTTTGGTCGTAGAATTAATTATTGTTAATGTTCTTCTTTCTACTTCAAAAAATACAATTGTATTTTTGTTTTAGTAAAAATAAATTATTCTTAACAACGAGAACATCTTTTTTATATATTTTGTTCTTTAAAATATGTATTTTAGTTATTATTATTTGATAGGATGGTGATTATTTGACAATTAAAAAAAATCAATAAACAATCTAAAAGAATACTATACAGTATTATGTAGTGTACTTTTGAATTGTTTATTAGTTAGTTGGATTATTATTCAAACAATATTTTTTATAGAAAATAGTGATATTTCTTTATTTTTTATACTTTCCCTCTTATTTTAAATTTTAAAATATACATATAGTATAAAAAAAGGTTATTCATTACTTAATAATAAAATTGAAAGTATCCCAAATTCAATGTTTGCATGTATAATCGTTTATATAATACGATATCACATTAATAATTTATGCAATAATGTTAAGTCATTAAGACTTAAGCTTTGAATTGGATTTGATCAAATTTCCAGAATCTAATCTAACCCATTTGAAGGATCCATAGTTTGAAGAAGGTGTTCATTGTTCAATGGTTTGTTTGAATAGAGTTTTTGGTACGTTTTATTTATTTATTCAACATTCTCTATATAATGGTAAAACAACGAAGAATCTCAAAAACCCTATATTTATTAATTTTAATCATTTGTGTTCATTGTTAAAAAAGGAAGATTAAAATAAGTAAATAATGAAAACTCTAAATAAAAGAAAATGACATTATTTCAATCACATTGATTGATTATTTAAATAATTTTAAAAATCTGCACATATGCTATTATTTCATGAATAATTCATCCGTTAAAAATGTTAATAACGATAATAGATCAATATAAAAATAAAACTTTTATGAGAGACTAAATGGAACCAAAAGTTAAATATAAATATTTATATCTTCTTAAAAAGTTTTATTAAAAATTATTTTCTGTATAAATAATTCACTATATTAAATTAGGCCAATAATACATTTGTTACATAAAATATATAAAAAAACTATAATCTATTAGTCTTTAAAAATATTATAATAAAAAAAATTAATGAATAAGTAAAACTATTTTTTTTAACATATTATCAAAATACAAGTTTTCTTTTTTAAGTTGCGTTTTGAAACACGATTTATTTTAAAAATTTAAATGATATTTTTCTCCATTTAACCTATTTTTTACTCTTGATTTTATATTAATTATAAAAAAATAGTGTAAATAATATCATTTTAATATAATTATGAATTTCACTTTATTTAAAAATTAAAATAATAATTTTTTAAGATAAAACTATAACGAATAAAAATTTAAAAATGGATAATAAACCTAAAACGAGTATATTAACCATTTAAATATAATTATAATATCGTTGTAATATTGATACATTTTATATTATTATACAAGCAAAATATTAACTCGCTTTCAAGCGTAGAGATATGGATGGTACTTATGGTGGTCGGAATGGGTAGTGGCGGTAAGTGGGGTTTTTTTGGTCCCCATGGAGTGTGTTTATGGTCCCTCACTGTCACTCACACTGTGTGTGTCATACTCTTGGATTTCGTGCACAAACACTAATAATTTTTGTTCCATAAACAACATTGTCAACAAAAACAATGTCATTATTCGGTTTGTCACACTTTTTTCAGCCCAAACCTGGTCATAATCAATTGACGAGGAATCTTGCTACAAATAGTTTTAATATTTTCGATTATTTAAATTATTATTATTTAAGCACACTCATAAGGGATTTTGAATTTCCCGACTTTAAATTTATGGGAAACTTAGTAGCAGATTATGAATTTTTTTACGAATTTTAAATTTTAAATTATCTGTTTATCAAAATCTGCTGAAAAATTTAGGTGGTTCTTTCGATGAAAACAATAGAAGATGAAGCGGCCAACTCGATCAGTCGAATCCAATGGGCTTAAACTTTTAGCCCAAAAAAAATGCCCCGATTTAACATGGGCTTAAAGTTTGTAGTTGAGCAGTGGAAATGGAAATGCTAATTGTATCCATTATATTTTGTTTTACACCATCACATTTTTTTTCATCTTTATAGGTTGAATTATAATTTTAATCATTCTTATTGTTGTCCTCCGTTTCAATTTTTTTTTAACGAAATTAGTCTCCACATTTTTTTAAAATATGTATTTTTTATTTAATTATTAATTTTGCATTTTACTTAATTTTATTTTTCATCCAATTGAACTAAAGATCTAATATATCATTTAAGATACCATTGAGTAATATGTTGATCAATTAAAAATGTAAAAAATGTTACTAATTTTGGAGACTAAAACCACTAAAATATAAAGAAAAAAGAAATGGTTACAAAAATATGGGAGGAAAATAAATTGTAATTTTTTTTTCTGAAAGGATTAATCTCAAATTTAGTCTTTCCTATATTGGAATTACGTATTTTCATTTTCGTAGATCTAATTGCATGTGTTGAGGGGATATAAGAATGAATTGTGTTTTAAAGTGTACTCTGAAAATAAAATAAAAAAGAGTCAAATT